CTTTGTCAACTAACACTCTTGCAGTACACAATGATTTCCACGCCACTCGTGGCATCTTCCCCATCTTCGACGGATTAGAAGTCAAGGATATGGACAAGCCCCTGGTCGACCCCAACAGCGTTGACGTGCCTGGCACCAACGGAGAGGAAGCGAAGAAGCCAGTCAACGGCGAAAGCAACGTGAACGGCACGAACGGCGAGAAAGTCGGACCTCGCAAAGAAGAGAATCCAAGCCTTATCGACGCTGCCAAAGCAGCCGCTGTCGAGGTCACCAATGGTATGAGGAGCCTTGCAATGTCCAACTAGGCTTGCTTGGATTCTACAACGACACCGGGTCTCACTGTATTCAACACATTAAGACCCAAGTCTTGAGGAGCTTCCCTCGGACAATCTCCACTTTCACTTCGTTCTTCAACAACATACGCAGCGGAGTTCCTTTTTCAACAGGGCTCTTGCACTTCAACAAGCGCAAAATTCTCCGACTCTGAACATCTTGGCGCAAATTCGGTTATAATAGGTACTTTCAAAAAAAGTGAAAGCATTACAAAGCATATGCATATGCATCTGGGAGGCGTCAATTCAACCCGACGACCGTCACAAAAACGATATTACTTGGTGCGGGAACCCTTAAAAGTTCAAGAAGCATAGTTAGTGGTGGAGGAGGAGGATGGTGATGTAGGCATGGCCTGCCTTTCTGAGATACCCGATTGCTGCCCTCAACGGCGGCGGTCAATTTTGATGATTTACGTTCTTTAACATTGTGGTATGTATGTTGTTGATATAGATAATTGCATCTTATCTTCACCTTTGATATTTGGCTGAGTTCATCGAAGACACTGGAGAACATGGTGTGGAAGAAATGCTTGTGCTGAGATAATTTGTTTGTTTGTCATTCTGCCGTATTGGCATGTATGAGTTCTTTGTAGTAAAGTGAATGTGTAAAGTATTTTGACAAGAATCGAAACCAATCGCGCCATCAAGACGTCTTCATCCTCCCTTTCCTTTCCTCCGATCATCCAAATGTCAAAGGATATCGGGCATCTAAGCACCAATTCCACTTCCAGCACCCTCACCCTCACCAGCTCCAGCACCCTCGCCGTCTCCCTTACCACCGCCAAACAATCCACCAAGCCAGCTCCACCAGCCACCAGACCCGTTGTCACCACCAGGACCCTGCTGACCATCCTCCTGACCAGGAAGTTCAGGCATACCAGTTGGCTTAGGTCCACGCGTCATCGTCTCCATGGTAGTAGGCAGACCAGGCATGCCAGTACCAGGCAGACCAGGGAAACCACCTGAACCACCAGGCATGCCAGTCGGCATAGGGAAAGAAGGAAGGTCAGTCGGGAAACCACCCGGTCCACCTGGTCCACCAGGTCCCTCAGGCGCACCAGTAGGCGCGCCCGGGAATCCGCCTGTGGGCGCTGGGAAGCCGCCGCCGGGGCCCTCGGGGGCACCTGGGGTGGGAGTGGGTAGACCGGGGAAACCTCCTGGAGCTTCTTCGCCGCCGCCGGAGGGGGACTCAGTAGGACTAGGTGCGCCGCCGTTCTCGGGGTCTGCGAGAGAGAAGGAAGGAAGGGGCAGGTCGCCGCCTTGGCGTGGGGCGAGCTGGTAGTCAATGGCTAGGTTGCGGGCGGCGCGCGCGCGGACGGGCCATGAGGGGGGCATGTTGCTGGAGCCGCCTGGACCGCCGGGACCGCCTGGGAAGCCGCCGGTGGGCATGGGCATGGGGAAGCCGGGGGGTGTTGGGGCGCCGGTGCCCATGGGAGGGCCCATAGGTGGGAAACCGGGGGTTGGTGCGCCCATGGGAGGGAGGCCGGAGGGAGGGCCCATTGGGGGGAAGCCTGGGGTTGGGGCACCCATTGGAGGGAAGCCAGGTGTTGGGGCACCAGTTCCCATGGGAGGACCCATGGGAGGGAAACCTGGGGTGGGAGAGCCCATTGGTGGCATGCCCATGGAAGGGAAGCCGGGAGGAGGAGGAGCCTGACGGGTGTCCTTGGTGCCGAAGATGGCGTCGAGGTAGTCGCCGAGGGGGAAGGCGGCAGCGCTGCTCGAGAGAGCGAGGACAACGGGGACGGAGTACTTCATCTTGATGGAGATAGTGTAGGAAAGTCCGTGTGGATGTTTGAGGCGGAAGTTCTTGAAATGTAAAGATAGTGGCTCAGCCAAAAAGAATGTATATACCACTAGGATATCTAGAGAGAGTGAACTTGGGTAGAGCAAAGAAAGGCCTGCCCGAAGTGTAAGAGAGAGAGGAAGAGGAAGAGAGAAAGAGTGCTGGACAACTGATCTGTGAAGAACTGTGTTGATGATCCAACAAACTGAGGCCAGAGAGCCCTAGATATATATTCTTCTGTTTCGTTTCGGAGATTTCCAGGCCATGATCTACCCATGATCAACCACTCAATTCATCTCAAACCAGCATACCCGCGGGCCCGCCGCCCCCAGATTGCCCAGTCGTTTGAAGTTGCTGGAGCTGGGAGAATCACTATGAGCAAGCGTCTGTGCGCCCACCTGCTAGTTACAGATAAGATCGATCAAGACATTGCGAAGACGCGGCGGCGCGGGCTTGGTGGGCAATCTCTGCAGGTCTAGCCAGGAACCGCGTCTGCATGGCCTGATTCGTAAATTGTAGTATGGGGATTTCATGCCGATCGCTGTGGAGTTTCATGACCTTCTCCAATGGAATCGTTGTGCGCGCTATAAAACAAAGCTGTAAACAGGTGGGTGACAAGGGCCAAGTCGGTAATTTGCGTAAAAGCAAGGCTGCGATGGCCATGGATAGATTGGGTAGAAAGCCAACATGTTTCGAGGGAGAGGTCGAGATGCGAGCGGGAGGGCCGATCGCATGTTGATGGTAGTGGTGGGTCTGTTTCAGGCGTACGCGTACCTCGACGCCAAGAGGGCATGTCGCTAGCTGATTGGCGCAACCAGATGCCGACCATGGTTGCTCTGTAACAGGAACGGGCCCATCGTCTACTTGAGCATCGGGAGACCTGCTTGGTGTTTGAAATGTAGTAACGACGTGATGTGTGACGTACTGCCGTGCGGGACGCAGACCTCGGCAATGAACTACGTCAGGCATCCAGAGGCATCGGATCATATCCATCCAATTCTCCTTGCAGCATATCCCCAGCCACTCAACAGTGCGGTCACACCTGTGAAGGCGATCAACGCGCCATATCCGCTGCCATAAGCAAAGCCTGCACTCCAATCACCAGCATGTAGCAATGCTTCTGAGAGCGGACCACTGCACAAGTTGCCTACTCCTTTCCCAGCTGATAGGCACGCCCATACGAAGCCAGAATCCGCGCCTCTGCGCTTCTTTTGAGTGTCTGCAACGATTGCACTCCAGGCGCTCGATTGACAGCCAGCAAAGGCACCGTAGACGATACAAAACATGTACAATGGCGCTAGTGATGTAGAGAACCCCCACAGGAGAAAGATGCCGACTGTTGACCCCAGCGCAGAGACCATAAGGCAGGTCGTCACATGGTACTTGTCGGTAGCGATACCCATGCATAGACATCCGACAAACGCAGCGGCGTTGACGAGGATGATAGTGACGGTACTTTCGATGCTACCTGCGCCAATAGACCGAGCAAACGTGGGTAGATAGATTGCTGGTAGGAAGAAGCCAAGACTTTGGATGATGTTGCCGGATTGCAGGATCAGATAATTCGAACAAGTCCAGAACGACAGATCGAAACCTCTGGACTGCGATGTTTGCGATAGTGGAAGTCGAGGCTTGAAGAAGAAGACTATCGGAAAGTTGAGGGCCACGAAGCTGAGCGCACATACTCGTAGAGTTGTCCGGAATCCGTATGAGTGTAGGAGCCATTCGAGTATAAGAGGGAGGATGGCGCCGCTCAATCCCAGACCAGCCATGGTGGCTCCATAGGCAAAGCCTCTTCTGCGTACCCACCACTCTTCGATGTTGAAGAGAATTGGAGTCCATGCGAGGCCGCCGCCGAGTGCGTACAAGATGCCTTGAGTGACTATAAGGTGCGTTACGCTCGTTGACAGAGATCCGAGACCCAAGGAGAGACAAACGATAACTAGACCGACTGGTGTGGCCCAGGTGCGGAATTTGGGAAAGTATTTGAGCACGGCAAACCAGAACGCGATATCCATGTACATGATGCCCTAAAGGAGTGTCAGAATGGGAACCAACCAAGATTCGTAGAACATACCATTGCGCAAGCACCGACAACGGCTATGTTGCTTTGACCGGAGAACTCCTCACTAGTAGCATAGTATTCTTGGAAGACACCATAGCAGGAAGGAAACCCCCAGATCATCGCTTCAAGCATAAAGCAGGCGAACAGGCAGAGCCAGGCATCCTTACCACCATCGGTGGGCGGAAGGGAGAAGCCATCGTCACTGTTGAGACGTTGATCGTCATCTTCGTGTTGGCGTAGTATTTCGATATCCGTTGTCGCCGCCGAAGGCTGCTGTGGGTAAGTGGTCAAATCGACCTGGGTGGTATGATTTGAAGCCATTGAGTGCTCAAATTTGATGTTGAATCGATGGCAGCAGACTCATACTTATTTACAGTCTTCATGGTATGTTGAGATAAGTAGTAACGCCGTTAGCTTGGGAATCACTTGTAGGGCGTGCTCGATGTACGGTCGAGTGGGGCTCTGAGGCCCTGGGCCCGTCGGAAAGCGCAAAAGTCACGACAAGAGCCCGACTGCGGAGCCATGATGACTCAGTCTAAGGTCCGATATGGATTGTACGCTTAGTACTGGCGCTCGGCTGGTGTGGTGTTTGGTGCTCGTCTGCATATGGAGAAGCGAGGGTGGATGGCTCTTGGGATGATGCAGGGGCGCCCGGGCGGGAAGCGGAATTGTAGCGCGACGCGACTTGTAGATAGACGCGCCTTGACCAGCGCTTTCACCACCTCGAAACGTTTGGCGCATACGACCATCACGATGCATTCCCAATAACGAACAGCCATCAACTATACATATACGATAATAAAACGTCCCAAGTACCGCAATGGACGAATCGCCACGTTCTTCTAAGCGGAGAAAGCTCGACACCCCGAAGCGCACCGAATCGAGCCCGTCAACAAAGCCGTCAACCAGGAAAGCCTCTGGCAGGCTTGCAGCCCGAACCACGACGAATACGAACGGCGATTCTGAACAGAATGTGGAAAAGAAGCCAGCGCCAGTGCGTAAAGGCCGGGCGCTGAAGGGCGCAACAAATGGCACTGCGACAAAACGTGCGGCAGAAGAAGAGATTGACATCTACGATGACATCGAGGGCGCATTGAACGTCGAAATATCCTCACGACCAACGCGGGTCCGCAAACCTTCGCAGAAAGCGCTCAAAGAGAACACGCCAATCGCGGCGCAGGACAAGGAGGAGACGCAAACAAACACACCACCGAAGCGAGGAAAGGGGCGACCTACAAAGGCGGAAGTTGCAAGTCGGGCCGCTTTGAAAGAGGCATCGACGGATGTCATCGCACCTGCAAAAGTTGCAAAGGCTGTACGGAAGCCAGCTGCGTCGGCGCGCAAACCAGCTGCCCCACGAGCGAGTGCGCGCAAGAAGAGAGACCCTAGTCCTATCCCCGAGGAGGATGAGACGGATGAGCTGCAGAACGAAACCAAAGCCGCTAAGACCTCGAAGACACGCTCCGTACGAAAGCCGGCTACCAGTACACGAAAGAAGGCAGCAGCGACAGAACCCGAGTCGGAAGAGGCAGTCGCAGCCACGCCTTCCAAGTCCACCAAGCGACGAAAACCAGCAGCAGAGCAAACAACCATACCAGAAAGCGAGGACGAACTCGGCGATGGCTCTCCCACAAGTAACAGAAAGCTTACCGCTAGTGCACGAAGACGCTTCAACCGCACCGATCACATCGCCAACAACGACGAGGAACGCTGGTCGAACGCGGAAGAGCAGGTCAATGGCCATGACGAGGATGATATGGAGGTAGATGGGAACAGCATCTTGGACAGTTTGCTGGACCCCACGGAACCCAGTCCCTTCAACAAGCCTACATCAGCACAGAAGGAGAAGGAGAAGCTCGCTCTATCGGCCATCTATAGCGATATTGCGCCGGGCCGCGAACTTGATCTACTGAAGACAATCGTCATGGAACGTATTACCGGCAAACGTCCCTCGCCTCTGGTTGGCTTAGACGAAGAGTACAAGTCTGTGCACCAACTTGTCGAGCACACTATCACCGCTGGCGAGGGCAACTCGATGCTCGTCATCGGAGCCCGGGGTAGTGGAAAGACGGCACTTGTCAACAAAGTCCTTTCTGAAGTCTCCAAAGATAACGGCGGCGAATACCACGTCGTCCGACTGAACGGTTTTGTCCACACAGACGACAAGATTGCACTCCGTGAGATCTGGCGCCAGTTAGGGAAAGAGATGGACATCGAGGAGGATGGGAGCGGCCCGGGAAAGAACTATGCCGATACGCTAGCGACGCTGCTCGCTCTGCTTTCTCACCCATCCGAACAGACTGGTGAGGTGACTGACGAAGTCGCCAAAGCCGTCGTTTTCGTCATGGACGAGTTTGACCTCTTCGCTCAACACCCCCGCCAGACGTTACTCTACAATCTATTCGATATAGCACAGTCACGAAAGGCGCCCATCGCGGTCTTGGGACTGACAACACGCATCGACGTGACTAACAGTCTCGAGAAGCGTGTCAAGAGTCGCTTCAGCCACCGCTACGTGCATCTCAGATTGGCAACAACGTTTACCGCCTTCCAAGAAACATGCAAAGCGTGTTTGTTAATACAGCCCGAGCAATTGAGCGTCGAGGAAAGAGGTATACTAGAAGGCGGTACCAAGACCACGCCAGCCAGGAAGGGGAAGAAGGGCGACACCAAAGAAGAAGCACTGTCCCAATGGAACACCAATATCTCCGTAAGCCCATCCGATACACCCTACCAAACCACAACCAAGCTAACTATACCTCCCAGAAACTCTTCTCAACCCCCACCTTCCTAACCACACACCTAGCCCCAACCTTCTACCTCTCGAAATCCGTCCCCAAAATCCTAACCACCTTCCTCCTCCCCACCGCCACCCTCTCCTCAACCACGCCCTTCCAACCCACCACCACCCTCTCGTCCCCAGACTCAAAACTAACTCTCATCCCCTCGCTCTCCCAACTCTCCCTCTCCCTCCTCATTGCCGCCGCGCGTCTAGACATCATCCACGACTCCGACACGTGCAACTTCAACATGGCCTACGACGAATACGTCACCCTCGCCAGCCGCGCGCGCATTCAATCGGCGGCAGGCGGGCTGAGTAGTAGTTCTGGCGCGAGTAAAGTGTGGGGCAAGGATGTGGCGAGGCGCGAATGGGAGGGGCTTGTGGAACTGGGGTTGTGCATGCCGGTTTTGACGGGAGGGGCTGTGGGTGCGTTTGGGATGGTTAGGTGTGATGTTAGTTTGGAGGAGGTGGGTGAGGTGCTGAGAGGGGTTAAGGGTGGGGATAAGGGGTTGGAGAGGTGGTGTCGGAGTATTTGATTGAAGAGTGCAGGAAAAAGAGGGTTGGTCTGGATACAATGGTAGATGAGGAGGAATTGTTGTCATGAATAGCATAGCGGGATGGGGGTGGGTGGGTTGTTGTTTTGATAGGCATGGCATAGCATAGCGGGTTAGCGTATTCACGTTTTGAAAAGAAGGGGTACAGCAACAGATCACGTTTGGAAGATAAGTATAGATCGTATATTATCATTTCAATATTGAATACGTTGCTCATGTCTTCCCTCCACGCTCTACAGCCTCCACAACACCCTCCTAACACCCCCAATAACTAGCCCACCGACTCTTCCCCCCCAACACCCCCACAAACTCCCTCGCCACAACCCTACTCGTCTGCTCACTCGGATGCAACGGATCAAACCACATGAAACTATCCGGACTATCCGTGCTCGTACAATTACTTCCCTGCTCATCGCACAGACTCTCCACACCCTGTACATTCAGCGGCGCGCCCGTCCCATTCAGATAGCTAGACGGGTTGTAATACATATCCGTCATGAGCGCGTTGACGTCAAAGGAAGCGACCTTGGCATCTTCCCAGCGCTCCTCGATCTTCGCGGCAAAGGGCGTGCGGTAGGCGTAGACTTGGTTGAGAGCTGCGACTGTGTTTTGCATGCGGCCGTGGACTTCTGTGAGGTTTTTTCCGGGGGTGTCGGGGTAGTATTGCGTTGATTGGAGGCCGCCTTCACCGGGTCGTTGGTACTGAGGGAGCAGGTTCAGCGGCGCAAGATTCATGACAACGAAGTAGCGGCCGCCGTTTTCGTACAGGCGGTCGATTTGCGAGTATACGCAGTCCATGTAGTCGGCTACGGTTTTATTTGGGACTTGGCTGTCAGTTAGGAAGGCGCCGTTGCCGAGGTCGTTGGTGCCGATCCAGATTGCGTAGACGGTGGAGGAGGGCTTGCCGGTGAAGAATTGCGTGCCGTTGGATGTGGTGGCCGTGGAGTCGGCGATGAAGGCGGGGAGTTCGTAGCCCGCGATGTCGGGGAAGGGGGCGTCGATGGCGGAGAAGTAGCGGGGCGTTATTTCGTTGGAGCATACGGCGCCTGAGACGGCGTAGTTGTAGAGGTTGGTTTTGGAATAGATGCCGGCGTATCGCGCCCATGAGAGACCGCCCGAGGCTGTTGCTAGACCCTGGTTCTCCTTAGCAAAGATTGAGATCATTTTCAGAACAGTTGACTTACCACAGGCTGCTGCCATGCTACGGGTGGTGCAGAACCATTGTTGTTGATGAAGTATCCTAGTCGGTTCTCATCCGTGTAACTATCGCCAAATGTCACCAACGTCTTGAACTTTCCATCGCGCCAGCCCCCTGCGACTCCGCCAGTAATCGCTAAATTAGCGACGAGCAATCGAATCGACCAAGAAGACACCATTATGAGACAGCTAGGTTGTCGGTAACAAAAGTTTGCGCCGAGACATACACAGGTACTTATATTGCTAAGCCTGTGGAGGCGGGCGGGACTTCTCCAAAGCACTAAACCATTCCCTTCCGCCGATACATGGGGCTAATCCAGGTCGGCAAATACTTCATGATTAATTGCAGCTGCTACGCGGGGAAATTGGGGACGCGAGCCCGGTTGTTCATGGAAATGATGCCGGTCGCGGGAGCTACACGCTTTACGGGTGTGGACGGTCTGGGATCAGGCTAAACAGGTGTGCATTTTCGATCCGAGGCTGGTGTCGATGAACCGGAGATTGAAACCTGGGCCAATAACAAACACGTCGCATTCTCGACATGAACTTGCATTGACCGTGGTCTTTGTGTTGATGTTTGTCAGCGATACACTGACAGCTTTCGATCTGTGATGCTCGATATGTCATCGCTAATTTACGCGCCGGATTGTCATCCTAATGCACCGTTGCGACCATCCATGAATGCGTTGAGATCACACGTGGCCGGTGGGTCTGGGGCAGACTAGATCTGGGGATGTGTAGTGACGTCGTTGTTGCTTCATAACGTTCTGGTGTGTCGGTCGGTTGCCGCCGAGCGTGCTTAATGTTCCTCCAGCCGAGGTCTCGATGCACAAAACCCGGGATCGCAGTGAGAACCAGAGTTCGGCGAGATGAGCGAGATTATTGTATGCCGCATGTCGTTCACACTAGTTCATGTGTACAGTCTGCGGAGGTACGAAGGGCACATTCCAATGTCGGAGTTCTTGCTGAGACACTTCGTGGAAGGGGTGCATTAGAAGAATGGCGCAAGTGAGTGTTGGCCTGTCTCATCGGAAGATGGCCCGATCGTGTGTTGTCTTTATATGCTTCTTCTGGAGCTGAAGGCCGAGGATTTGTTTTTCCTGGTACACTTTCGATCTGTCGCTAGGATGCTCAGATCGTGTACTGAATGCGGATCGACATTTTGACGAGACAACCTTTGTGCACGCCAATACTGACATGGAGGTGTCTCGCCTCGAAGCCGTTGGTTCCTTGACCGTGCCCGCTTCCCCGGTGCACGCGTCTTGCGCAGGCTATCGCTGGTGGATGCGACTAACCATATTGGACCAAAGCACTCGATAGTCCAACGTCGATAGCGGTAGTGCTGAGATGGGAACAACTCCGTATAGAGTTTGTAGCGAGAAAGCGGAGACTTCATGTAGCGAAAACTTCGGCAAGCCGAAGCCTGTCACGATTGAGGGGACTCGATGCCGATGAAGCGGCATTCGGCTGTCTCGTCGCGAAGTCGCAAAGGCGTTGGCGTCTAGCCAGGAAAGCGCCCCATTAGAGCGCGTATCTCGGTACCAGACTGTCGGGGAACTGGGCTGCAGACAAGGGGAGAGGTACCGATGAGACTCCATTTGCATCGGACGGCTGTGTTTACGCCCCTTCCTTCTCGATCCGTGGGAGCAAAGACGCAATCTCGAGGGTTGACGTAGGTGGTGTTGATCTCGGGAGCGTGGTGGTTCCTTCCTCACGACGAACCCTCACTCTTCGGGGCCTCTAGCGTCCCATAGCCTGGTCCCTGTTCAGTCGCCCCACCTTCCCTCGTGTGTTTGACCCTCTTTACCTTTCCAAATTCTCATCCTCATTCCATCTGTACATGTATCGCAGCACCCGTGCCGATGCTGTGCTCCCCTGCTGCATACCATCTACCGATTCGCCTCATCTTCTGTTTGACCAGCAGTCCCTCATCGCGGTCTGGAGCTGACTATTTGCAATGGGAACAGCTTCCACGATGCTACAATCACGCGCCGGTCTCCTTGTCATCAGCTCGACAGATCCGTGATGGCATAGCACGGCAGCACCGCTGCGTCGACCAAAGGAATAGCTCCTGCAATCGGCGCCGTCTCTTGGCCGGAGGCAGTGACGAATATGTTTCTGGTTTGCCTTGAGTTGAGAAGCTTGAAGGAACGGAAGGCACGACTGGAACCCTCACCACGAATTCTGACCTGGAACTGTGAATGTTGGGAGGACGTTTGAAGTGCACATCAGCCCGGCTAGTTTGAGAGTAGCCTGTTGACAGCTACTGGATGAGGTACAGTCGCATTCACTACCCGAATCTGAGCATACAAGTCTGACTACTACAGGAAGAATCTCTCTCTACCGCCTATGTCGACCGACCCTCTACACCTCGTGGGTGCACAAGCTGCACTATCATACGTCCTGCGGCATCTACTATACGCTGTGTAGCCCACATTGATGCGAGGCAACGCACATGATATCACCGAGTGCTCTTCCGGCCCCTGGCAACATACCTAGAAGCGGATTAGACATACTCCATAAAACAGGACGGGTCATCATTACAACTCAATGTATAGGTTCAGTTCCACATTCTGGAGCTCCGCACGAACTTCCTGCATAAGGTCTTCGAATCTCGCAGCTGTCCAGTCCAGTTTCGATGTGAATGGCCACAGCCCAAGTGACTCAAGGAGGTCACCAATCATCTGGACGGATGACGCGTAGTCAGCACAGATCCACCTTCCACAACTGGGACGCATACGTACTTCGACAGAGTCTCTACCGATGCTAGCTTGGGTCTCATCTGTATCGACTGTCAGTACTGCTCTTCAGTAGGATGTTTCGGAGTACTGGGTGATGGCCAACCGCAGTGAAAGATCCATTCCCTCCCACGATCGGACAACATTCAACGTTGGAACACAACGGGAGACTTACTTTTCGACCAGTCACCTATGTGAAGCTGCACTATGTCGACTTCGACGTCTCGATATCTGTTGTCGAGCAACAGCCGCTTCAATCGTCGACCTATCCGCGGGTCACGGTCCATGTCCGCCATGGCGCCCTGGTATTCCTGCCACCATCTTCGCACAGCATTCTGGTCCGTAAGACGTCCATTGTGTGATTGGATAATCGGCAAATACTCCATTATCTGCACCCAACCTCCCGGCCGTAGCAATAACCTCATATCTCTGATGTATCCATTCCATCTGCCGCTCTTAATGCCTGGAAACACGAACCGCGAGTGGATGAGATCGTAGTGATTCGCTTTGAATATTTCGGGATCACGAAGAGGATCGTTGAGGTTATGAGCGACCAGGTCTAGGTTCTCGGGTCGGTCCATCTGCCTAGACATGGGACGACTGCTCAGTCTTCGTACCCGCATGCCCAATGTACAGGCTTAACTCACATGGGGAAGATATCAAGAGCAGTTACCTGAGACTGTTAACACGCTACGATCGATACGAGCCACATTGGAAGTACCAATCTCATCTTATATGGCTGTCATGGGGTCAAGTACGCACCTCACAATCCTCAAACTCATCTGCGCATTGGACAGCCCAGTCTCCACCGCCGTAGCCGCACTCCAATATCGCTTCGGGCTCCCCAACTGGTATTCGAGGGGAGAACAGTCCATCGCCGAAGATACGGGACACAATTTCGTGCTGAGCTGTCAGTCTGCTCTCTTCGCGGTCGTCGAAGGCCACCGGGGCGTAGTAGACACCTTCGTCGAGGGATGTTCTTTGGAACTCTCGGCCGTGGACGCTAACTGTTTCTGTATCTTCGCTCATTGTCACTCACGTCTCGAAGAACACGGCGGGATACGCAGGCAATAACAAACGATGGAACGGGCGGCCCAAGACGAGTTGTGGTGTATGATGGCGATGATGCGGACCTCATGGAAACAGCACGACGATAGCCCGACGCTGTAGACTTTGCGATCTGCATATCGCTGTGAGCTGGCAACAAGCTCGGCAAAGGCGCAAAATTATCCGATATCGTGGCGAGAGGAAACGTCACTAAAAGCAGGCTGACGAAGTGGCCGCAAGTCTCGAATCACGAATGACCAAGGTTGATCACATTCGCTCTCCATAAAACCAGGCGCTATCTCTGCAGCTTGCTTCTGAGCATCAGGATAGTCCCCACGATTCGGTGACATATGTAGCTAGGGAGGCTACTGCATCGGCGGGAGCAATATCCGTTTTGGAAGGCGGAAAGATGAGCAGATCGTTTCACTGCTTCCATTTAACATCCTACTCGCTAAGAGTCGGATCAAAACGAGGCGTGTCGCCACTGCGGACTGGCAATCAGGGGTCCACGTCTCCCGTACAAAGGACTCATCCGAAGGCCTTCACAGTCATACTGCTACGAAGCATCATCAAATTTCGTATCTGGCTCGTTGCAATTCTTGACACATGGGCATATGTGGTAAGTGTTCAACGTCAGGTGAGACAGGGGGAGGCCCACCTCCGCCTACCTGGATTTTCTTCACTAGGACATCTCTGCTACTCATGTTAGACAAAACTGCCACCGGAAGCAATTCCGCTGCACCAGAAGCGATTCGCCGTGAAGGCAAGCATTGCTTGCGCTAGTGTATAGATTCGGTCGTTGATGGGCACGTGGTGCATGCCCGGACGGATGGCCCCGCTGACAGTCTTCTCGAAAAACGACACCGCTGACATGGCCTCGGGATACAGGCCCATCAAAGCCAAGCCACAACGTCATTCCTGTGGCTGTTGGACGTGTACGTTATGACTGGACGCAGCGCCTAGGGGTTCCCATTGTCGCCACGACTATCAGAATCTTCGATGGTTGACAGGCCAGGTGTTGCAACCATGCTGCCCTGTGCGTTCATTGATCCATGGATCTTAACATCACAGCTGCCGGTTGATAACTATAGGCTTAGTGTAGCCTACTCTCGGCCAGCTACATGTTTAGGCAGAGAGCATGCCGCGCAATATTCTCCGACTTTCTTTAACGTAAGGACGACAACTTCACACGGCGCCGATGGTTTCGTGAGGGAAACAGCCAATCAACACCTCCGCATCACAGCCCACGCACATTCGATGGATGCAATAGATGCAATGGAAACTCCACATGTATGCAAAGACGCACAGTCGTCGGAGACGGACCAAGCCCCCCACACGACTTTTGGCCTGTCGAGATGTATACGGTTTGTTGACGCGACACTCGTTGTCATTTGATCACTCAGGGGCGCCAGAATCTGGATAATGCTGATAGCAGAGGCGTTCTAGCAAAAACATAGCCTTCAGATGTCGATTCCGACCAGAAATCAACAGGCATTTGTTTCGTGACAAGAGAAAAGTTCATCCGACCCGGACCAAGCAAGGAAGATGAGACGCACGGGTTACACCCACCCGCATCTGTGGGGGTTTCGTGCCCACAATCGCACATCGAAAATCTACATCTATATGATTCTTGAGGCTGGTATGTCGACGATGATTACTACTCCTATAACGCCTCCTCGCGAGCTTTTCCCATTCCGTATTCGGCTATGTCATCGACTCCGATGCATTAGAAAGTAGTGCATCATATAGGCACCACAAGCAGAAACTTTTCAACAATTTCACCTACACCGGAAGAATTCGCGGCTTGTTCCTACGAGAAACTCTTGAGCACCTGCGTCGACCGAAAAACGCGACTCAAAGAGATGCGAAATTTATTTCCGGCCACAAACTGAGCAGAATATTGTCGTCTGCCTCACTATACAATATCCGTCATGTGGTAGTCGGTGTGATGTCGGTCATGGTAGCGTCCGGCGCACATTCCCCTGCTCAGCGTCTACAAGTCTTTGACTCCGCTAATTCCACGCCTTACACCTCTACTCAATGACAGTAATAAAACACGGCATGTAATAGGTGCACTCCAGAAGATCTCAACGCTCGGTAAGGTAGGTACGCGAATACTTACAGCGGTCAAGTCCGTCAACGGGCCGAACCGCGCATGATGGGAGCCAGCGTAGCAAGAATGGTACCCAGGACGCTCATGTACGAAAGCGCTGTGGAGTCCCTCGGCCTTGACTTCGAGCGAGCGAGCAAATGGCGGGTAACAAGCGGTGACGACGAGGGTCTGGATCCGCGTTGCCTTCGGCATAGTGCAGATGTTGAGTGGGTTGCAATGATCCTGGAGGAGAATCGTGTTTGCAAAGGATCGATGATGTCGACTGTGCTTAGTCGGGTGATAAGGTTTGGGCCTGGCATGTGGGTATTTGACTACGCGGGCTTGCTGCGCTTGAATAGCAAGCCTCGAACAAGACCAAAGTTCAACAGCAGGCTCTACATTATCTGATTTAGCGACGTTTGGTAGATTGAAGTCAATCAGAATGCCATCACGCAGCACGAAGAGGTCTACGAGCTCCTCTGTACTGGATGTACAACTGTTGCTAGTGCTTCATTCGATGCATTGTTCGGGTAGAACGCCCATCTTTTGGTGACACGACCAAGAAGAAGGAGCCGTCACTTCCAGTGCATGGTACAGCTGTGATGGAAAGATACATCCGCCATCGCATCTGTTCCGTTTCCAATGCACCACAATATCGCGATATCTAGGACGCGTACGATACGTGTTCGGGCCTCACGCGGCGCATTTCGCAGCCCCACATCCGCTCAAGAATCATCATCTCATCGAACTTCTCCAGCCAAGACTGCACGCTCTGAATATGCGAGTGTGAGATTGCGCACTTTCTAATCACTATCATGTGATACCCCGGACTCGTCCAGCTGATGATGGGGAGCAAGACGCGGACATGTGAAAGCGTGAGGTGCACGGTGCGCAATCCCCACACATGACCAACTGCCGTCGGGACCGAGGTAACTCGTCATCATCAACAGCTCGGCTGCTTTCATGAGACACGACCGGGTCAGATCGCGAACGACCTTACTTTTGAGCCATCCTCCACGCATCCAGCCACCTATCCTCTCATCCTCACACTTTCCAAATCTTGCACCTTTCTATCGTGGGATCTTTGCTGATACCCATTTGACTTTAAATACCTTTGTTGCTTGCTTGCATAGGAGATTCCTCAAGCGCAACTTCTTTCCGCGAAAGAACGAAGGGGTAGCCTCTTCGAACAGTACAGAGAACACATCATGGCTGCGCAGGAGCTGCGATATGATGGCCAGACCGTTGTGGTCACGGGCGCTGGTGGTGGTCTCGGTCGCGAGTATGCTGTCTTCTACGGCAGTCGCGGCGCGAACGTCGTTGTGAACGACTTGGGTGGCAGCTTCAAGGGCGAGGGCGCGGGCTCAGCGGTATGTCTCTTCAGCTGTAGTCCTTCATTCACTGCTAATTCACCCGACAGGCCGCAGACAAGGTCGTTGACACCATCCGCTCCGCTGGCGGAAAGGCGGTCGCCAACTACGATTCGGTCGAGAACGGAGAGTCCATCATCAAGACTGCTATCGACACATTCGGTCGCATTGATATCCTTATAAACAATGCGGGTATCTTGCGCGATGTCAGCTTCAAGAACATGAAGCAGGCAGACTGGGATCTGATCTACCGGGTCCACGTTCTTGGGGCTTACAAGTGCGCGCATGCCGCGTGGCCATACTTCAGGAAACAGAAGTACGGAAGGGTGATCAGCACTGCGTCTGCTGCCGGTCTTTTCGGATCTTTCGGACAGACAAACTACTCTGGTATGCACATGCGTTTTGTGAAGAGATGAATGTCTACTAACTTCCACAGCTGCCAAGCTCGCTCTTGTCGGTTTCACCGAGACACTCGCAAAGGAGGGCTTGAAGTACAACATCCTCTGCAACGTCGTCGCCCCGATCGCCGCCAGCCGAATGACCGAGACCGTCATGCCTCCGGATGTTTTGGAGAAGATGAAGCCTGAGTGGATTGTCCCGCTCGTCGCTGTCCTTACACACAAGTCGTCCACTGAGACTGGCGCTATCTTCGAGGCCGGCGCGGGTCACGTCGCCAAGCTACGATGGGAGCGAGCCTCTGGTGCTCTGTTCAAGGCCGACGAGACCCTCACACCCGAAGCTGTTCCAGCCAAGTGGAAGGATATTGTCGACTTCTCCAAGGCTGAACACCCACAAGGCCCGGCGAACGCGCTTGAGCTCCTCGAGCATGCCAACCAGCTGCCGCCCAACCCCAAGGGCGAGCCTCTTGACTTCAAGGGCAAGGTCGCTCTTGTCACTGGTGGAGGTGCTGGTCTCGGTCGCATCTACTGCTTGCAGTTGGCGAAGCGTGGTGCCAAGGTTGTCGTGAACGATCTTGTGAACCCCGACAACACCGTCCAGGAGATTCAGAAGCTCGGTGGAGAGGCTGTCGGCAACAAGGGCGATGTTCAGGACGGCGAGTCTGTCGTCAAGACCGCCATTGAGACATATGGCCGCATCGACATCCTGATCAACAACGCTGGTATCTTGCGCGACAAGGCGTTTGCCAACATGACCGACGAGCAGTGGGACATCATCCACAAGGTTCACCTGTTCGGTACCTACTCCTGCACTAAGGCCGCCTGGCCTTACATGCTCAAGCAGAAGTACGGCCGCATCCTCAACACCACCTCTACCAGTGGTATCTACGGCAACTTCGGCCAGGCAAACTACGCCTCAGCGAAGTGCGGTATCCTCGGTTTCTCGAAGTCCCTCGCTCTTGAGGGCAAGAAGAACAACATCTTCGTCAACACCGTTGCTCCCAACGCCGGCACTCAGATGACCCGCAGCATCTTTCCTGAAGAGGTTGTACAGGCCCTCAAGCCCGATTATAACGCTCCTCTCGTCATTCTTCTCGTTTCCGACAAGGCTCCCGAGCCAACAGGTGGCCTATACGAGATGGGTTCTGGCTGGTTTGCGGCGACCAGGTGGCAACGCTCTGGCGGACACGGTTTCCCCGTGGACGTCAAGCTCACTCCCGAGGCTGTTCTCTCCCAATGGGAACGCATTACCAACTTCGACGACGGCCGTGCCGACCACCCCTTCGACAACGCTAGCGGTCTCAAGTCTATCATGGCCAACATGGAGAACACGAGCAAGAAGAGCAAGGAGAAGAAGCCCACCAAGAGCAACGAGGAGGTCCTCGAGGCTCAGAAGAAGGCCTTGGCCGCTAAGGCTGAAGGCACACCCTTCGAGTACACCGAGAGGGATGTCATTCTTTACAGTAAGTCAGCTTCATTCCGTATGAGTAACTACAACTAACACTATCCCCAGATCTCGGAATTGGCGCCAAGCGCACCGACCTGCCCTTCGTCTACGAAGGCGACGAGAACTTCCAAGTCATCCCCACTTTCGGTGTCGTTCCACCCTTCAACGCCGAACCCCCCTTCTCCTTCGACGAAATCGTCCCCAACTTCGACCCCCGCATGCTCCTTCACGGCGAGCAATTCCTCGAAATCCGAAAATTCCCCATCCCCACCGAAGCCAAGCTCGTCGCCGTACCCAAGCTGGTCGAGGTCGTAGACAAGGGCGCCGCAGGGCTCGTCGTATATGGAAGCGTTACCAAGGACGCAAAGACAGGCGAGGAAATATTCTACAACGAAAGCACAGTCTTCATCCGCGGCTCTGGCAACTTCGGCGGTCAGAAGAAGGGTGCTGACCGCGGCGCCGCAACAAAGATTCACAAGGCACCTGAACGCGCCCCCGACACCGTCGTTGAGGAACGCACAACCGAGGAGCAAGCTGCTATCTACCGTCTCTCCGGCGACCTCAACCCCCTACACATCGACCCCCAGTTCAGCAAAGCCGGCGGCTTCCCCACACCCATCCTGCACGGTCTGTGCAGCTTTGGTATCTCTGGTAAACATGTTCTGCAGACGTATGGTCCGTTCAAGAACATCAAGGTCAGGTTTGCGGGTGTTGTGCTGCCGGGTCAGACACTGATTACCGAGATGTGGAAGGTGGGTAATACGGTGCTGTTCCAGACTAAGGTTAAGGAGACGGGTAAGCTAGCTATTAGCGGGGCTGGTGCGGAGTTGATGGGTGGTGGGAGTAAGTTGTAGATGTGGAGGATTGTAAGAGGGGGAGGTTTTTAGGTGTTGACGGGTGTTGATGCCTTGTTGTATATATGTAGTGTTTATGTCATAAGTTCATCTTCCAAAATGCGCTTTCAACTTATAAGCCTCAATAATGACCACCGCTTTTATTCCGCACAAAAACCTTATTCGTTCCACCGTATATAATTTTCCCACGCCGGCCGGCGTATTTTGGGAGGAGGAGGAGGCTTGAAGTCATGCGGCTCAAGATAGGTCCCGTAAAAAGGGTCTCCCCGATCCAAATGCGGAAGAGTGTTAATGAAACTATACATATTGGAGTCACTCATGTTGAAGTCGCTGTCATCACTCAGAGTGTCTTTCTTGGGCTCGACATCATCATTAGGATCGTACTCGGACTCGTCGGAATGTTCTGTGTCCGCTACGTTGCTAGCTTGATGGTAGACCTTGTGTCGTGAGCGAAGCCGGGTGTCCTGTTTGGATTGAGAAGTCGTGTTAGCGTGTGTGTCTGGATATGATGCCAGTGATGAAGATGAGCACTCACGGAGTTCAAATAACGTTCTGCTTCTGCGCGCCAGTCGTCATTGCCACTCTCCAGCGCAGGAAGCAAGTTCCAGGTAATCTTCGGACAGAGACTTTCCTTGTCGTAGGTAAAAGTAGCTTCAACGTGTGCGCCCTCGGCCTCAAACACAGTGACCACATGCCGGAGCGCATCGAAAGCTGTAGACCATGAGTTGAAGCTAATGTTCCTCTGCCTCAATAGGATGATCAATTTGAAGTCGGTTTTGCGCTTGATGCTGAGGAGCGAGTCGATGCATTCCTGAGTCGACTCGCCGTCACGACTCGTGAAGAGACTCTCAGTATGGAGGTCAAGCGTCAGAGTGCGAAGGAACTTTGACGGATCTAGGCCAACGAAAAACACATCCCTGCGTATAATGTGCTGAAGCTCAATAAGGTCCCCTATATTCCACATCTTAGGCCACCATGTACCGATGATTTTGTACCACGCCTCCACAACCTCTCGAGCTGTTTCCTGGCCCACGTATCCCGGCCTGACGAAGAAAGGGGTCCAGGTATGCATGTAACAGGGATGCAGGTAGACGGTGTATCTTGTGCCTGGCTCGTACGTCGAGGCCACCTTTTGGCATTCTTCTTCCTTGCCTTTACGTGCGCCTCTACACCGGCGGTGGACGAGGTAGGCCATTGAACCTTGTGTTGATTGAAGTGTAGGCGCGTCCCATACATGCTTGTACACCATGTTGCGCAGTTCCAAGGGGAGACGCGCTTGCATTTGTTCGCAAAAAGCAAGGTTCCATGTTGCGCAGACACGGCATATCGCTTTCACCAAGGGACGGTACCTATTTGGTAGACGTCATATCAGATTAACGTCGCGATCTACTGAGCATGTAGAGCTTACTTTTTACGCAATCTTTCGTTTTCACGTCGGATGCGCGTCCGTGGGCTGAGCTCCTCCAGCGGTTTTGGATCATCGGTCATTACCGTCTCCGTGGCTGGACTTAGACAGCCTGATCGGGTGAGTGCATAGTGGAAGTTGACGCACAGTGGCTGGATACATGAAGTGAGAAGGCGCTCTAGTGGCGTCGGAACAGCTAGCGTTGCGACGACATGACGTCGGGAATCTCTGCGCTACTTCGCTGGCTGACATGCGTTATTATTCTTACGATGTTGTATCTGATCACAATCGGGCAAGGTAATGTCTTCTTCCTCGTATCTTCAGAAAGTACATATCTATAGTGAACGCAGCTCTTGTAAAGATACTAAAGCTTCACGAGCAATGCTGCCCAGTTCAACAAATTGACAAGCTTCCTGCCTTCTAGTCATCCCCCTCACTCGCGCTATCCAGCTCATACCCCTCTTCAATCTGATCCTCTCTAAACATAGTTCCATAATATCGCGGCGGCTCATAAGGGGTCCATGGAGGTTCCGGAGAAATAGATTTGCCGTGTTCATCGCGGTCAGAGTCAGTTTCTTCATAGCCTAGGTAATCGTCTGACTCCCAGTCATCCTCGCTGTAGTCCCTGCTCTTAAGTTCCCGCGGGTCGTAGTCTGCGTCGTTTTCGATGCGATAGTGTTTGTGATGCTCGCGTACGCGGGAATCCTATATGTTTGTAAGTCACTATGTGTGAGGCAGCAAGCGATGTAGAATTAGTGTGCTTACACTGTCGAAGTGACGAGCGGCTTCCTCTCTCCAGTTGGATTCGGGATTCTTCAACGCGGGGAGCATGTTGAACACCAATTTCGGTTTAAGATCTTGGGCGTAGACAAGAAGCAGCCTTACGTCCGCGCCTTCTTCCTCAAATTTCTCGATCATGGGTCGGAAGATGTCGAAGACGGTGAACCAGGGATTGAGTTGGAGGTATGACTGCTCCAACCGCAGCCTTAGTTTGAAATTCGCCTTATTCTTTATCTGGAGCAGCGCGTCGACAGTTCGTTTCGATTCGCTGGTGTCCTTGCCCTTGTTCCTTAGGAATCCGTCGGTAGTAAGCCTGAGTGTCAACTTGCGCACAACAGTTGTGGTATCCAAACCGACAGAGAAGGCGTCGCCACGGATAACGTAGTCGAGTTCGTCTGTGGTTCGTAATTCCCATATGTCGGGTTTTACTCTTGAGATCGACTTGTACCAGAATTCGACAATCTCCAAGGCCGATGCATCCCCTACGAATCCAGGTCTCATAAAGTATGGAATTTGTCCATGTTTAGGGCAGCTGTCCACTGTTCCCGGGTGATGCGTTTTTACTAGAGTGTCGCAATCTATGTCGCCCCCAGAGCAATTCCACTTAGGATGATATGTTATACGAGTATCTTTCAGTGTCTTGTCGTCCCAGACGTATGCGTATACAATGTCGCGAACTTCACGAGGCAAACGCCGTTGCATTTGCTCGAAGAAGGGGCGACTCCATGAGGCGGTGAACGCCGAGAGAGCTAACGGAAGGTGTCTGTGTTGGAGTCTTGTATGAGGTCTTTGCTCGAGTTCATAGAGATCAAGACTTACTCGCGCCGGACGTCTCTCTTGCGCTGTCGCGCTCTTGCTTCTTCGATTTTTAATGCTTTGATCTGCCTTCTCAATGCTGAGATAGTTCGCGTAGCTGTACGAATTCTGGGAGGATTCAGCACAAGGTGCACCAGTGAAGCTCTAGGAGCTTTGCGTACGTATCGTTCGCGTCTAATTCCATACCCTTGATGCTGCAACTACGTTAGAACTGATCTGACATGAGGTGCTGACAGGGCCCAAAGACCTACGCGCGAAGCCGCTGCACTGCGGACTCAGCCGATAGCTTCCAATCGATAATAGCTGCTCTCTCCATGGCTGTTTTTGGGTGACGTGATCAATGCGGATGAACCTTGGGGGTTGAAGTCTTGTCGCTAGGAATACGAGGTGGCACGGTGGATAGGCGCTCGCGCTTTAGTGGCATCGGACCGGCTAGCATTCCGAAGATCCGAATCCCTGCACTATTAAGATGGCCGCAGTATATCATCCATACAACATGGTATATGTCAGTGTTCACGAACGTCTGATGGTTGCGAGAGATTTATGTAGCATCATATGTATTGAAATGACTGAGGAGCTAACTAGTAAGGGTAGTAAACCCGAGTGAGATAAGTAATCACGTGATGCTATTCCGGCCTTCTCAATCGGAACCTGAATCTGGGTCGTACCCAGGTCCATCTACGTGCTCAGACTCGGAGGAGGCACCCACCCAGCTGGGCGCGTCGAAGCTCTCCCAGTATTCGTACATGTCTTTGATTGCCTCACTTTCTTCCATTTCGAGATCCTCTAGCAAGTCGTTCTTCCATTGTATGAGGTCACTTCCGTACTGACGTGGCGAAGACACTGCACCTGGATAATTTCCTCGACCATCATGGCGATACCTTTCAACACTGTCATCGCTATCGCCTTCATCGCTGTAGATGTCTTCATCCGTCCCGTAAGGAGTATCGCCATCTTCGGGACGTGAAGTGGGGTCATAATCGTCGTTGTTTTCGATACGATAAGCCCTGTGTATGTCGCACAGACGTGTAACCTGGTTCACGCATATAGTCAGATGAATTGAGTAGGATATGGATGACGGGAAGATCTTACATTGTCAAAGAAGCGTACTGCATCCTCTCGCCAGTTGGATTCTGGATGTCTCAGAGCGGGGAGCATATCATACTTCGGTACTCGACGTGGGTAGAAGCTGTCGTACACGAACTGGACCCGCACACGACCTCCCGCTTTCTCAAAGTTGACAACTGTATCCCTAAATGTGTCGAAGATCCGCTGCCAAACGTTGAGCCTAATGTATTTTTGGAGGACCCGAAGAGTCAGCGTGAAGTCCCTTTTCTTTTCGATGGACAGAAGCCTTTTGAAGTGGAGCTTATAAACATGCTCGCCGTCTGATTCTTCTTCGAGGATCGCGATTGTTGAATCAGCGTTCAAAACGACAGCTAGCCTTCGCAAAATAGCTGCAGGCTTCAGACCAACATGAAATTTGTCTTGATGAAGGAAAGACGGTATGTCAGTCACATGTATTCCCATTGCATAGTAGTCGTTGCCGCGAGCCAAGCGACTATACCAAGCTTCGATCATTTCAAGGGCAGAGTCTTGCCCGACGAAAACTGGCTTTATAAAGTATGGTGCCAGGTTGTGATGGCAGCCGTCAATCGCATCCGATTCGACGAACGTCGTCATGGCTTTCTTGCAGTCTTGCCGCAAACTCCGGCAACGAGAGTCCATGATGGGTATCATACTTCTGTTTGTATCGGCCAGAGTTTTACTGTCCCAGATGTGCGCATACACCATATCTCGGAGCTCGCGGGGTAGACGTTGTTGGAACATTTCGAAGAATGGAAGACTCCAGGCTGCAGAGTACCGCCGGATAGCTGACGGAAGATTCCTGGTGGGTAGAATTACATTAAGCTGGGGATAATGTCAAGTTTCCGAGCTCTATGCACTTACCGGAGAAGCGCATCAATCTTCCTTTTCGTCATCTCTTTGCGTTGTTTCTGTAACGCATCGAGCTTTGCATTAGTAGCTACGATTTCATCTTTGACTGAGTTGACCCTGACGCAGTTCTTAGTACAGTTTTAGAGATTGGAGAATTTCTGGAATTCACATACTCTTTCTGAGCATCGAGGTCCTTCCGCTTGATGCTGCCAGCTCGTTAGCACTAGAGCGAAGTGGGGCCGAATAGTCCGTCTCACTCGCGCAGACAGTCCAGCGCTGATTCCAGGTCTGTATCCATTGTTGCGACTGTATATGGCGATGAGCTCACACTGTGGGAAGCGTGGGGAGTGTGAGACGTATGGCGCTCGGGGGAGGTCAAGATGTTAAGGGTTGGGATTATTGTACGTTTGTCAACTGCGGGCATGCGGCACAGCCGCAACCTCGGAACATTCCGATCCCTTGTCTCAGCAACAACCTTGAAGCGCAGCGAGCTGCAACTACCGAAGAAGACTCCGCATCCATCCATTAACGTTTCCGTCCCCGCCTTCCTTTCTAGGACTTCCCTGCAGCCTAAAGCTTTATGACAGCTCCAACATCGCGTACCACTTACAAGCCAGACTTAAACGACCTGAGCCTCCCGGAGCCATCGCAACCACAATTCTGTCTCGATAACCCTCTATCAAGATCAGAAGGTCGTAAGCCTGTGTCCTCGAGCAAATCCCAGTTCCAATAATCCTCCTGCCCATCGTCTGGATTGTAATCCGGCTCGTCCTCCCCTCGATAATGTCTGTCCTGATTCCTAATGCGACATTCACAGATCTAATCTGCTTGTCAGCGCCGGTCTTGCATGATGATGAGATGATGAGAGGGCCAGTATTACCGAGTCCAGATATTCGATTATTCCCTGCTTCCGCTTTGCTGGATCATGACTTCTGATGATACTGTTCAAGTCCACAAATACATATGGTGTAGGGTGCGGGCCCCGGCTACAATGTATAGCCTGGACGTCGACGATAGCTCCTTCGTCATCGAACGCCTTGACCATGGGTTGCAAGAGATCGAAGAAGTCGGGCCAACAGTTCAATCGGAACTTAGGGCTGCATATACGAAAGTTGAGTCGGAAACCAGCCTTCTTCTTGACCCGGTGGAGAAGATTAAAAGTCTTCCGCCGTGTATCTGCGTCTGGCCACTTGCAATACGGACTAGCGAGCCTAGACGTGGTCTCGTCGAAATTGATGGTGAGAGTCCGGAGGACGGTCGCTGGGTCTAGGCCGACTTGAAACAGGTCTTCACATATGGTTTGTTTGATCGATTCTTGGGTATCGGAGATTGTGAAGATGTCTGGTGTAAGTGTAGCTGCTGCTTCGGACCATGCCCGCGCCATTTCCAGGGCTGTCTCTTTGCCCATGAAATCGGCCCGAACAACATGTGTATGGCACCTCGGATCGGAGTGGCCAAGAGGACCGGACTGCTGCCTTGGCTGTCTTGCGGAGTTGAGGTGCTCCACATTCCAGATCTGTGCATATATCATCTCGCGAATTTCGCGAGGCAGTAGCTCTTGCATCCTAGCAGAACATAACATGTTCCAAGCTTTTGACAACTGCTCACAAGATGCATCGAGCTCGCTGTGTATCAAGCAACGTCAGCGATAAATGAAATTGGGTAGAGCTGGCGACCACTTACATCTGCACTTCCGTCTTCTTCTCCGCTGCTGATAGCCACTCATGCTTTGCTGCTGTACGCTCCCTCTTGTCTGTAGCAGCTTTTGCGCGTTTCAGGCTAGTTAGGCAAGTCAGTGTCTCTGAAGTCCAGGCAGCAGTGTATGGGAACGGAGATACAAACATGAACAGTCTGTTACACGTGTCGCGCACGTCTTGTTCCAAATCGTACAAACTTTTCATGGTGGTGGTATAGCGCGAAAGAAGATAAGATGGCAGTCCGAGTCAAAAGCGTTTACTCTTCTTCGGAGGTCTTGAAGTGTAGATTATCATCATGTTCGTAAGGCGAAGTCGCGCTAGATTCGCGGTTTGCCCCACTTACACGTACTTCACGGGTGGCCTCACGGTTATTGAACGCCTCGTGTACGAATCTTTTCATTTTTGTTCGTGGTTCTACAATCTTAGATTGGCATGCATCCGCGCAGTGATAGCCATGCATCCTTCCTCCCAAACGAAGCAAACCCTTCTTACCGCCTACCATAGGGCGCAAGAGATTGTTCCCAAGCAGCGACAACAGGATCAGAGCCTGGATTGTCTTCTTCACTCCGATAGTAACGGTGATATGGTCTGAGTAACTCATCACCGACCTAAATTACTTGTCAGATGTTACCACATAGATGAGTTGCAAGCAGCGTACCCCTTCAAAATAATCGATTAAACCCGGCTTCATGCTCTGCTCCCAAGTCGTCGGATCGTATGTCCTGATCAGGTGTTCCATATCAGTATTAACACCCGGGTCCTCATCCATGCTATCTGTCCTGTTAGGATCATAATCAGATTGAACACTGACGTGGGCTCCTTCCTGCTCAAACACCTTAACGATGGGTTGCAGGAGACCAAGGATTTCTGGCCACATGTTGAGACGAATGCAATCGTGGTAGATTCTGATTTCGAGCTTGAATCCTCTCTTCTTCTTGATGCGAAGAAGGAGATTGAGCGCGTCCTGACGTGAGGTAGCGTCTTTAAAGTCGGAGTGCTCGTGGCCTAGCACGAGAGAGGTGTCGGGAATTTCAATAACCATCTTTCGGAGAGCAGTGGCTGGATCCAAGCCCACCCCGAATGTATCTTTGCATATAGCTCTCGTTAGCTGTTCACCTAGGTTGCCGTTGCCGAGTACGAGCCAGGTGCAGTGGCCGGAATCCATGGCTCCGTAGTTCTCGTACCACATTTGGACGTTCTCTTTTGCAGCTTCGGCTCCTACGTAATCTGGTAGGACAACATGTGATGTGCGCAGAATACGATTGGCCCCCGGACAGTGGTATTGCGTGGATTCTTCCTTAGCCTTCCAGACTACCTCAAAGCCTTCAAAGCCTTTCAAGTAGTCTTCATCCCAGAATTCGGCATTGATCATATCTCGGATCTCGCGCGGTAGCCGGTCGTGCATTCTGGCATAGTAAAGTTTGTTCCAGGCTTTTGAGTGTGATTCGTACGATGCTTCCAGTCCTTCATTCAGACTGTGTCTGTAAGCAATTGCTCACCGTGAAGCTGCATCTTCTGGGAATGATAAGAACTCACGCTTTCCACTCGTTCCAATCATCGTGGCTCCAAGAGTAGCTACTTGCCATCCACAGTTCACTTGAGTCTACCATTAGCTTCTTTCGAGTCTTTGACAACATCTATTATGAACGTGCTTACTCGTTCTGACGACGTTTGATCCTTTGGGAATTAGTCAAAACGGGCAGCGACATAGTACGGCAACCACCTACTGAAAGACTCGGTCCTGTACGCGTCGCAGATCTTGATGGAGCTCACGAAGATTCGCCATGTTTGATGTTGAGGGTAAAAACAAGCAGGATGTTGTTCGAGGTTACAGGTTTTCCTTCCACGTATTCTTTGTTTGGTTCAGGCTTTGTGGAAGCGAGTCGACAACCACGTTCATGGAGGACTCGGAACCAACCGGAGCGCTACCGCGTCGAGCGGAACCAACAACACAAACGACGCCTGAAATCTCCCACTAAACGAGGGCGAGTGCGAAGATCGTAGGAAGACTGTCGCGACGCGTCATATTCACGTGCGCCACAGCGCATCTGCCATCTTCGCTACCTGCGCCATCTCCCTAACATCATGGACCCTCAAAATCTGCGCACCACCCCTGATAGCCGCTGCCACCCCAACAGCAGTCCCCCAGACCCTATCTTTCGCTTCCTTGACCCCCGTAATATCGCCGATAAACTTCTTCCGACTCGTACCCACAAGCCAAGGAATGCCTTCCAGACCCGGATACCTCATCAACTCATCCTGTCGGCGAAGTAGTTCAAGATTATGTTCCTTTGTCTTCGCAAAGCCAATACCAGGATCGAGAACGATACGCCAGCGCCTGACACCCGCCTTTTCCGCAGCAATAACGCGCTCGACGAGTTCGCGGCCTACGGTCTCTATGATGCCGTCGGGGTAGGATGTCATTTCAGGACTGGTCATGGTTTCCGGCGTGCCGCGCATGTGCATGAGACAGACTGTACAGCCAAGTTTTCCCATGGTGGAAAGCATCGTGTCGTCCATGGCACCTGCACTGACGTCGTTGATCATGTTTGCGCCGGCGTTGATGGCGGCTTCGGCGACGCTACCGCGGTATGTGTCAACGCTGATTGCGATGTTGTTTGCCTCTGGCATTGAGCGGATCAGCTCTACAGCTGGGAGGACACGAGCTAGCTCTTCTTCCGCGGAGACCTGGACGGCACCGGGCCGTGTCGACTGTCCGCCTACGTCGATGATTGTGGCTCCGGTCAAGATGTGCTCGCGAATGGTGTTGGTTAGGGTTGCTTCATCGATATTGTAATTTTGGCCGCCATCTGAGAATGAGTCCGGTGTGACATTCAGGATAGACATGATCCTCGTGTTATTCGCTATCCGAGAAGACGATATTGGTGATAGATCTGGTCCAAGTGGCGTCAGCGGCACCAGTGGCACCTCTGATTTAGAGAGTCTTTTGAAATGGCGTTTAATTTGATTCGAGAATGGGTAATCTTCACGCTGATTGCGCAAAAGTCTAGAGAGTTTCAGCACCGTTTCACTGGCCAGATAGATGATTATCTTACTCAACAAGAGGGCGTAGAACGAACTGCCTCTCGAACATCAACGCATGCGGGATCGTAAGTCTTTCGCTGGAACTTTTCTCGTTTCCATGAAGTAAAATGTCCAAATCAATATTTCTAGGTCCTTTGTCGATGACTTTGACGCGGCCCATGTCATTCTCAACTTTCTGAAGCGCGTCTAAGAGTTCGATTGGCGACAGACTAGTTTCTATCTGTTTGTGTGAATTTGACGTTTGGAAGAAGGGACATTATTTAGCATACCTGACAGGCACCATTGACGAAGTTGTCTTGATCGAGTACGTACATGGCTTTGCTCTCCCACAAACTACTGGTTCGTACGATCTTTATTTTTCCACTTGACTCCATTTCTCTGCATGCACGTTCAATCATGGCCACTCTGTCGCCCATGTTGCTCCCCAAAGCAACGACGGCAAGTTCCTTATTACGGTAGACAGGCTTATAAGAAAACACTTTCCGCACATCTTGCGATGGAAGCTCGCGCGGAACGCGCGAGTCGGAGGGTGTATCACATTCCTGGCGTTGAGTGGGTGACGAGTGAAAATTCGATCGATTAGAGACCTTGCCGTGGATAGTGTCAACTGAGAGGGCTACACGGCGTGGACACCGTGATGGGGCGGCCCTGAGCGAGGCCAAACATCTGGATGCACTAGTGAACATGTTAGCATGTGACGCGGTGGGACAGACAGATGCAGGCGCGCGATGCCGACAGCCTTCCCCGGATGGCACTAGACGATAAGCGGTTAGCGCTCTCCGCGTGAGACATGCGTCGTGCCTCGGCTCACGGCTTACAGAGAGTCGACCAGGACTCCTCAACCATAAGAAAGGGCCCGACTCCTCAAACCTTAAGAATTCGCCCGAATCCTCGATCCACTCGTCTTCCTTTCTTGCTGTTGAAATACCTCGCATCTTCCCCTTCTCAACCGCAAACCTCCATACCGTCATCATGGCTTCTCCACGTACGCATCCACGCCTCATTCACATGTGCCCAGCTGACAAACCTCAGAGCAAATCCGCACCAAGCTCACCGACCTGCTGAAGATCCAGCACCCCGTCATGCTTGCGGGCATGAACGTGGCTGCTGGACCTAAGCTCGCCGCCGCCGTCACCAACGCTGGAGGTCTCGGTGTCATCGGCGGTGTCGGATACACACCCGACATGCTCCGCGAGCAGATCGCTGAGTTGAAGGGATACCTGAACGACAAGAACGCGCCATTCGGTATCGACCTGCTCCTTCCTCAGGTCGGAGGCAGCGCGCGCAAGACCAAGTACGTACTGGCCGATTCATCACATGCCAGGCACGGGACTAACGGCATATAGCTACGACTACACCAAGGGCAAGCTGAACGAGCTCGTCGACATCATCATCGACTCCGGCGCCAAACTATTCGTCTCCGCCGTCGGTGTCCCACCCAAGGCCGTCGTCGAGAAGCTACACAAGCACGGAATCCTCTACATGAACATGATCGGACACCCCAAGCACATCAAGAAGTGCCTCGACATCGGCGTCGACATCATCTGCGCGCAAGGAGGCGAGGGCGGAGGACACACTGGAGACGTTCCCACATCCATCTTCATCCCAGCAGCGGTGAAGATGGTAGAGGGCCACAAGTCGCCTTTGACCGGCGAGCAGGTACAAATCGTAGCTGCGGGTGGTATCTACAACGGCCAGTCGCTCGCTGCCATGCTCACATTCGGTGCGACCGGTGTGTGGGTCGGAACACGCTTCGTCCTCTCCGAGGAAGCCGGTGCGCCCAAGGCCCACCAAGAAGCCGTCCGCACAGCTGGCTGGGACGACAACATCCGCACCATCATCTTCACCGGACGCCCACTCCGCATCCGCACCAACCCATACGTCCAGAACTGGGAGGAGAACAGGCAACAAGAGATTAAGGATCTCACCGCCAAGGGCATATTGCCTGTCGAGCATGATCTCGAGAAGATGGGCGATGACCTCGACGACGAGACTATGGACAACGCGCGGCCGTTCCTGATGGGCAAGGTCGCTGCTGTTGTTAACGAGAGGAAGAACGCGAGGGAGATTGTTGATGAGCTCGTCACAGATGCTGTCAAATGGTTGAACATTGGCAACTCTATGATCGTGTCCAAGTCGAAGCTATGAGGAACCATTTTACGTAGTTAATTTTGATGCATCTTTCTCTGTTCTCATTCAACGCCCATGATCTTTCCCTATCTGCAGAGTACATGGTTCAGATTGATTACGTCTGCAAGATAATGCGCCTCGGTATAACCTTGGAACTAGCCAGCGAGCTAGTGCTGACTATCATGCGGCTGATGCCACCGCATATGCCCCGATGCCGCGGTCAAAAGAGCATCTTTTGCGAGGTCGCGTTATCAAAGCAACCACCCCGGGCGATGCTGCACCTCTGGGAACGCGCGTTTGTGTCAAAAACCTTTGGACGCTCCCGAGGTATTTGGTGTACTAGCAGCGGAACCTCACCCTTTTAGGACTAGCGTTTCAGCTTCTTAGGTGTCACAACTCAAACTTCGGTGTTTTGCACGATGTTACGTTACAACCACGTAACCGACGTCATGGCTACACAACGACAGTGGTTTTTGCAAAGGCGCGAGGCTGCACTGAAGATAGAGCTTGCGGCCGCAGAAAGGCGGTTATCCGAGCATGTCATGCGCTACGAGATGATAGAAGGCTATCTCCAGGCGCTCAGCGACATAGGAAAGAGGGAAAAGGGGAGGAGAAGAATTGTAGCGGCTATGAGCAGGCATACATCGTCAGTAAATTCAGTGCGGAGCATACGTCGGTAATAACGCGCAGACAGCAAGTGGGAGTACGAAAGCGAGAACGGGAGGCTACAAGGGCTGAAAAGGGAAGCAATGCGCGCCCAGGGCTTGTCCAGAGGAGGGTACGCGATGTCAACACCATGTCGTGTTCTTATCAATTTACTAACCAATTTGCGGCAGCTCATTCGATCAAGTCGCTCAAACACATGCGCAGATATCATGTCTCTGTCTTGCGACTAAAATGCAAGCCTGTCTACCACGGGAATTGCGTGATTTGATATACGACTACATCTGGGATGACAGCTATCACCGACTGGCATCGTTTTATATGTCTCCGAGTCCTACTATCGGACACGGTTTTAAATGGACGACAGCTCACATGCACCCCAAGATTGGCCGTACTCCGCGTGACACCAAGCCCGTCGTCGTAAGCCCTGCATACGTCGACCCGGACACGGCCCGAGAGGCCCTGGAGGCGTACTACCGCGTTTCTGCGCACCATCTGGACACTTTTCTGGTCAGATGTCCTGAACAAATGCATACCATACTGCACGAAGATGCGTTCAAACTTGGTGTACTACCCGCAGAGCATCTGAGGGCAATGGATCTATACCTTACACAAGAGCGATCTGAAGTGTGGCTACCCTGGACGATCGACGGCAACAAGCTCAGCAAAGCTTTCACGCAACTCACTGAAGGCATTCGCCGGAAGAAATACTTCAAACTCAGTATCACATTCATTCAAACCGAGATCCGATTGAAGCAATGGGACTTGCTATTCCGCATCCTAGTTCCCCTTTGGACTGCTTTCGAAGCTGCAGGAGCGGAAGTGCATCTATACTGGCATTATACAAGGGCACTCGAGCAAACAGACATGCTTAGATGGGTGTTCAGTCTCGATCACATTGTTAGCGTGTGGACGCCCGAGTTGGAATGGAAAAAGGAGATTATCGAGCATATAGAAAGGGAGGGGACCTTGTTTCCGAGGGAAGCCAAGCATTTTCGGTGGGAAGATCGAGAGGAAGAGGAAGACGAGTCTGGCTGAGGCTAGAACAAGTGCACTAGTTGTGACGATGGTCACTATGTAACTGATTACAAGCCCCCAACTAATCCCGCTGAAAAGCCCCCAAACTCTCATCGTTCCAGCTCAAAAACTGTCCATTAAAGCCCTTTACATCCTCCCCCTTCGCCACAGCCAACCTCGCCATAACATACCCTGGCTGCTCTGGCTTCAACAGTCCACCTTCTTTCTTCAGACCACTGAATTTAGTCCTGTCTTTCTCGCTCATACGCTCGTGGTGCACTTCACGGATCTCACGCTGCATCTCCGTGTCTACGACACCAGGGCGGATCGAAATGGTAGTAATGGAAGGCTCTTCTACAGATAGCGTGAGAGCGAGATGATTCAGCACAGCTTTTCCCGCGCCGTAGCAGCCCCAGCCTTGGTAGGCGGAGGTTGCGGCACCGGAGGAGGTTAGGAGGATAGTGCCGGAGGTTTTGCGCAGAGAGGGCAGAGCGGCTTGTACCTAAATAGAGCAGTGTATTAGTCTATTGCATGAAGCCAGGTTAAGTAATGTTGATGTTGAAGGTCTGAGTAAGTATCGTCGATAGAAGAAGAAATGAATAGATCAGAACGAGATTTCGACTTACCATGCCAACCGCACTAAAAACATTAACATCAAACCCCCTCCTCCACTCCTCCGCACTACTATCTCCCACCTTCTTCACCGGATCCAGCGTCCCGTGATTCACAATCAGCGAATCAATGCGTCCCCACCGCTCATTTGCCAGATCAACAGCTTTCTGCGGGAGCGAAGCATCCGCCATATCGCCAGCGAGTACAGCTACTCTCTCGTTTCCATATTGGGATTGAAGGGCAGACAGAGCCGATTCAGTACGCGAGACGAGGACGACTTTGTGGTTTCGCGAGAGGAGGTGGTGCGCAATGGCTTGACCGATGCCTACGAGAGTGGATTAGTAAGGGAATTGACGGTATGAGAGTCTGCGTTGGTGTTGACTAGGTACGCTTGCACGTGTAGCTTTTTTTTTACACGTCTGGGGGGTTTGCAGACCACGGAAGTGTAATGCATATTTGACTAGAACAGAAGCGAGGTGATGGAGAATTTAGTGAATAGATAAATACCTCGAGAAGCTCCGGTAAGAATAACGACCATTTCTTTGAATTCACTCATCTTCACTGTTGTTTGGGTGGGTTAAGTTCATATGTCGGGACGGATCGGAAAGGTTGTGCTCGCGTTGGAGGGGCACGTCATATTAGTCAGCTTCTTGCCAGACACTGCCCGTCTGCCGTCGTCCGCGAGTCCAATTAAACGGCGTCTTTTTAAATTATTAGCCCTGCCAGCAAGTACAACACTGCGACAACTACATTACTCCGACAGCTGCAAGAGTGCGACAGCTTACAATACTGCGACAACTACACTACTGCGACAACACAACCAACACTCTAGCAAACAAGACCCAAGCTATTACAACCATATTAATTCTTGCTAAACGATACTACCTCTACGATACAACACGCCCATCGCGCTTTATACAAGAGTCAAGCTCAGCCTCGCAGTATGCTGTCAAACCGACATCGCAGTGCCTTCCGGGCAGCTCGCAGAACTACCTGACCCGCTTCCCTTGGAATCCACGGTGGAAGTGCTGCCGCCGACCATACTTCATGCTTGCCCGGGTATACCAGAGCTGGATTTACATTCTCAATGAAGTATTCGACTAGCGCATGACAAGCAGGACAGCACTTCTGCGATACTGGTAGGGCGTTCATCTTACCCTTTAGTGCATCCGTAGTTGTTTTACCAGGGAGCTGCAGGTGAGCCTTGCTTAGTGGTGCAGACGCGGAATTGATATCGACGTCTAGGATATCAGCCTGCTTCTTGGCTAGTAAGGCAAGACTCAGTAGGACTGTTTCGCAGTGGTAGGTACCAGTGAAGTTTGTAGCTTCTGCTTGTTCGTTTTCAAACTTTGCGGAGTAGCCATCGCCATTTCTTAGCAGCCATGTTCTGATCTTTTGGCATTCGTCCGTTGTAAGCTTCTCTCCAGATGGCAATGTGAAGTTCTCCAGAAAACTCTTTATGATCAATCTCCTGTCCTGGTGCTCTTGACGAGTTTCAAAGTGTTGGAACTTCGCTTGCTGCCAGTAAGTTCTGAGAACTTTGTTGCGGGGTGCCTGTCTGCCTTCACTCCGGAGATCCAGGATCGCTGTCCAGTGTAAACATATCAGATCCAGCCATGCCATTGCTGCGTGCTCCCACTGCTGTCTCTCGGCAAGAGAGTCGAGCTGCTCGAACTCGGGGTCGATCGTTTGTTGCTTTTTAAGTGGGGTCGAGGATCCAGGGAGGCCTTTGGTATCTTGAGCAATGTCGCCGGTCTTCATTGCATTCTTTATCATATGAACCTTTCTCAAAAGCCCTAGGTTTGTATACAAGTACTTGCGGAGCGACTTCTTGAACTGTGTCAAAACATCAAGCCAGAAACCTGCTTGTTTCGAAAAATGATCGAGATAGTGACCTGCGAGTGCAATTTCGTCGCTTGCGGGACTTCCTGGAAGTGCGTCGTAATTGCTGATCTTGAACAATTGTGAATTTCGCACTGCAGCTGCGAGCCACTCGAAGCAGGCAACTAGGTTGTCGAGCACTGCACTAAGAATGTCCTGCAAAAGACTAGCAGTATGTTGGTTGTAGACAGTCGATTCGCCGGTGTTCAGGAGGTCCTTGAACTGGGTGAGTGGTTTGATGATTTTTCGGGTATTTTCCAGTGCCTCTTGAGTACGGCAGGGCAGTTTGTCTGCATTGGCTGATGACCGACGTTCCAGAAACTTGATCGTTGCAACGATCATTTTCCGCTGGATTTCGGTAAAGTTTGAGTAGAGAACATCGCGGGCGTCACCCAGAAGCAATGACCTGAAGTGGTAACCTTCCTGCAGCATGAAGTCGTCAAGGTCACCGCCAGGCTTGCTTAGATAGTCGTAAAAGTTGCGGTCTTTGCTGCCTTTCTGGATGCGCGAAGCTATCTTGGCGGTCGAGGTCAAGAGCACGTAGTTACGTAACTGGTCTCTGGCCAATGCAGTTGTACCCTTTGATGTTTGTTCGTAGGTCGCCTTGATCAAGTGCACGAGATTGGCTGCATGCTGAGAGAAACTGACAGTTGTCCGGGGATACGTCACTCCTTCCAGATGTCTCTCTGTCTTGGAAAGCAACCAACAGCCAATTGAGTCTCCCATACCATCGGCAGTAGTCAATGGAATATGGACTTGTAGGGCAGGGTGATGCTCTTTCTCGTCCAACGTCTTGCTTCGCTGTTCATTGCAGAGGCTCTGCACATACCCAACAGGCTCGCTCTCTTCTTCCGCTTCAGAGGCAGTATCATCTTCTGTGAGCAATACGCCGCTGTCATCGCACACTGTTTGGAACAGAATCTCTCCTGCGTCTGATGCTGTCACGGCGACAACTTCTACATCACGGACTAACAAGTTGGTAAGCTTCTCTGCGAACGGGTATAGCTTGTTGTTTGAATGCCCGGAATCGGTAGTATTCGTACTGACCGTGGCCTTCTTCTTGAGAGGATTCGTCCAGGCCAGTACAGTTGTGAGGAAACGAAATTCGTAGAGTTCCTCCTTGGTGAGGAACTTGTCCTTGAGCCCGTACTGGAATTCGCTCATCGTGACTCGTACTGCTGCAGTTGAGAGCTTACCGCAGCTAGAGTAGTTAGGGGGTGGTGTGCTGAAATTGTCCGGCGTCAATTCCGGTTCAAGTGTGCGAGTGGAAGTTCAGCTCAGCCGCGATTTGGTAAATGTCCGTGGTCTTGGATCGTGAATGCAGAAGCCTTGGAGGAAAAAGATGTTCCCTAGTACTGCCTTCACAGTAGAGTCATACTTGGCTACCATGGTTGAGTACCTAGGTATGGATTCGACCATCCCTACGAACCCCGGCAAACCATTGTTTAAGCGAATCGTTCCATGGTACTGGTGATGAGTGTTAATCGTTTGTCATTCCAAAGTCATTATCATAGGAAAGCCATATCCATCTATCTACAAATACTTCATAATCATAACTCCGTCGTCACAATCCCTAAAACCCGCGCCCCCACACCTTAATACCCATAAGCCTTGCTCGTAGCTCTCGGCCGTCCAGCCAACGTAGCGATATCATCTGGGTTAACAGGCGCCTGAGGCCTGCCACTCAGCGTATCAACCGTCTCCTTAAGCGCCATCCAGAACTCATGCTTGGGGCGGCGACGGTGCCACTCCGTCTCCCTCTTCTCCACTTGCTCCATTGGCGAGAAGAGGAGCTTGCTGCCCTTAATACCGATGACGCTGATAGACATGGAGTCGTCTTCGATCTCGTCGGGGTCCATGCCGGCGTAGTTTTCGAGATGTTGCATGGCCTTGATGGCGAACCTGACGGCACGGACACGGTCCATGGGGGAGGGGATGGTGCCTTGTTGGAAGTGGCCGGGTACTCCGTGACGGGATTCGAATTTGCCTTGGCCGGCTTCCGCGATCATTTGGGCGATAATTTGCACGTTGTAGGTCTTGGATGCCTTTTCGTTGACTAGGATTACCTTACCAGACCTGCTGATACCCTTGTCCTTCTTGAAGACCTCGCGGAGGTGGTCAATGTCGCGGTCGAGCATCTTGAGGCTGATGCCTTCTTCGGGAGTGTATACGCCCATAGCTCCGATACTGAGACCGGCGACTGTTGCGATGTAGCCTGACTCACCACCTTGAGTCTCGATAACGAAGACACGACGACGAGATGCTGATGCCGATTGACGGCAGGCATCGGAGTATTGGATGAGTGCGTTCAGGCAGGTATCTGAACCGATGGAGTACTCTGTTCCTGGGACGTTGTTCGAGATGGTGGCAGGGATGATGACCTAAAGTCTAGTTAGCATGCTGCTTATCGAGTGGCTGAAACTACATCATCAGGATATGCACTCACCATAGGAATCTTGAAAGACTTGTAGTACTCGCGTGCTTTCCTCAGCTCCGAAACAGCTGTGAACGCTTCGAAACCACCAACAACGAACAGGGACTGGATGTTGAACTTCTTGAAGACGAACGCAACAGTCTCGAGATCCTCACTAGGGAGCCCACGGTTCGTTCCGATCTCAGATCCACCCTTGGAGGCCCAGGTCTCAGCGTCAATCCACTTGATGTCTCGCACCGCACCAACTGGCTCATCGGAGTGGTGGCGGATTATGCCAGGGAAACCGTTGTGGAGCGCGACTGGTGTGTGGCCGCGGGCAATGCAGTGTGCAACCGCAGCACGGGTCGCTGCGTTCATACCTCCAGCTGGGGCTCCGACGTGGATGATGCCGACGCGCATGCGCTTGTTCTCTGGTAATAGAAGGTCTGGCTGATCTTGTGCGGTGGTGATTTGGTAGGCCTGGTATTGTTGCTCGAACTCGGTATCACGGAGCTGCATGGCCCTGGAGAAGTTCTTGTTCTCGATGGCTACAGCGACTTCCTTGGTTTGCGCAACAGCCTCGAGGAGCGGCCGTCGGACGATCTTGTTCTCTTGCATACAGATGACCGGGCTGGGTGTGTCGGGTGTAGCCTCCAACACCGCCTTGACAGCTTCAACACCTTGGAGTGTCGCAAGCATACGGTCGTAGGCGCAGGGCGTACCTCCACGCTGGACGTGTCCGAGAGTTGTCACGCGTGTGTCGAGCTTCGCCTCCTTCGCCAGAATGTCCTTGACCTGTTCTGAGGTGATCTTGTTCAGGTTGCGATCGATGGCACCCTCGGCGACCACGACAATGGTCTTCCGCTTGCCCATTTGTCTCTGCTTCTTGATCTGTTTGCACATCTGCTCCTGCCAGCCTTCGCTTGGTGGGTTCTCGGGTGTGAAGACGAAGTCGGCGCCTGTTGCGACACCGGCGCTGAGTGCGAGCCAACCGCAGTGTCGACCCATAACTTCGATAACGAAAGCACGCTGATGGCTGACGGCGGTGGTGTCGACTGAGTCGATGGCTTCGCAGATACGTCCGAGCGAGGTGTAGCAGCCAATGGTAGCGTCGGTCATGGAAAGGTCGTTGTCAATGGAGCCGACGAGACCGACAATGTTCAGGTGCTTGAAGGGCTCAACCTGCTCCTGTGTGAGCTGCTTCTCTTCCACCAGCTCCTTCAGCAGTTCCGGCCACTCCGCGCGGAACTTGTCAGCACCTGTGAGGGATCCGTCACCACCGCAGATAATCAGCGCATCGATGCCCTTGATGATCATGTTCTTCGCGGCCGTCCGGCGGCCTTCGCGCTGCATGAACTCCATGCATCGTGCTGTGCCAATGAGGGTACCACCTTCTGACAGGAAGCCTCTGACGTCTTCCCAGTGCATCTCCTTGATCATGTCTCCGCCCTTGACTAGACCGTCGTAACCCTCGTATATAGCGAAGGCCTCGCAGTTGTTGTGAATCGCCATACGCACTACAGCGCGTACCGCTCCGTTCATGCCGGGCGCGTCACCTCCGCTCGTCATGACTCCAATGCGCCTCTTCTTGCCATCGAGGGGCGGCGGGATCTCGGTGGGCGCCATGTTGTGAGTCTGGGTGTTGTTGATTGGGGTATTAGGCGGGGTGAGAGGTGTAGATTGAAGTTGAGGTAGCAAGTGGAGGCTGGAGGTAGTCGCAGCTGGATGCGAAGGTCCGAAGAGATATTTGGCCGTGGGTCAGTATGAGGTCAATGTGGATTCACCTGTCTAGTTGGAAAAGTTAAGACGCCGAGAAGAAGCGGGTCCCTACGTGTTGGGAAGATTCAGGTCTCAACGGTGGTTGGAGGGGTAGCTTTGCCGAGTCCTGGGTGGTTGTGAGTAGCAGAGGTAATACGATTAGTTGGTGATTAGATGACCTCTACGTAGTGTTTATGTATCATAGGCAACAGTTTTAGGTATTACTCAAACTGGCGATAAGGTGATGGGAGTCGGAGCATGGGTCGCGGCGTCGCGCGCATATGACGTGGGAGCTCCAAAAGAAAAGAGCTCCCCGGTCCGTCAAGTGGGGTCACACCACTCCGCCGATCAGCCCGAGCCTCGAAGGATCGTCTGGCGAACTCCAACACCGGCCACCGGCACGTTCCTGGCATCGCACGACCTTTTCGTCGCTTGAATGGGTGTCGGTTGCATGCCAACAATGGCCAAGATGGCGAGACATTGCCTGCGCCACGGTCACCGTACGACTATTGTGACATGTTCTTCTTAGCCATCACCCCACGCGGCCTCTTCCGGCGAAGGCGTCCCAGCATCACGATCACAGGGAGGTACGATTGGCCGCGAATTACAATGATTTATTGGTATCACTCTATGTCGGACCAAACGCGTCCAATCGCTGTGCAGATGCTCAATCACCTTTTCCTCACGAACCCAAGCGTTTCCAAGTGCATGCTATGACTGCATTACCAAATCCAAAGACTCCAACCTGCAAACATCTATCGTTACCACCTCGCCTCTAGAAAGCACCAACCTCCTGACCCTCCCTTGCCAGCGTCTCAAACACCCTTGGTGGCAGCTTGTACTTGATCAATCCAGCAAAGACCATCAGGTCCTTTGCCTTTTGCAGGAGCTGATCAGCGAGAACCTTGCGCATCTTGTCCTCGAACTGTCCGGATAGAAGACGCTCACGATGTCTCGAGCAGCAGCCGATGCACCAGAGAAGAACGTTGCCAATGTTGCGCGAGATTTCTTGTGGGTATGAGTTGAAGCTGTTGGCGGTGGCGCGGATGTCGCTGACATTTCCGTTGGCTGACAGAGGAAGAATGCGGAGGTTCTCGATTTGCTGCGGAATGTTAGTGATTGATTGTGAGAGACAGTGAAGTGAGAACTTACGCCGAGTGCGGCCATGAAGTCGCCGGCTTCAATGATCTTCTTCGCGTTGTTGAGCTGGAATAGTATCCCAACTGTATCGCGGTTCATCTGCGACACCTTCCTCCACCATAGGCTGTTCGCGTCATATAACGCAAGAACCTTCTGCGCGAGCTCGACAGGATCGTCTGTTCCCAGCATGCTCAAGCTCGACGAAGTCAGATCAGTTCGTTGTTGTTGTTGCTGTTGTGACTCCGCAGCTGTCAGACGCGGCTTCAACGGCTCCAGACGGAGAGGCTCTTGACCGAGTTCTACAGAGAGTGCCTCAGCCAGCGCGCGGTTCAGGATCGTTACGACACTGTCGTACTCGCCAGCAAGATGGCAGAGTAGAATGGCGTCGTTAATGCGTCCGTTGTCGTCTGCCATTCTCGCGGCTTCGCTAGTGATGGTGTTCAACAAGCCCATCTCGCCATCTAGCTTGAGCAACGGCACGCGCTCCTGGATAAGACCCGGTGTCGTCTCGCCGTTAGATTTGACGTCGCCCAACAAGGTAGAGAACTCGCGCGTTTCAAGGACAAGTTCGCGAAGAGCTTCATGGCAGAGTTCTGCCTGTTGTCGGCCTGCTTCGCCTGGTAGATCCGCATTCATGCAGATCAGCACCAAGTAGTCGGCCGCCGCATCAGCTCGAGCAGCACGGAAGTCGCTTGTGTAGTGGCCGACGATGCGTCCAAAGTTAAGCTGTGGTTGTTGCCGCGTAGTGAAGGTCATGATCTCTCCACCTGCAGTCGTCCAGTCCGACACGCGGATGAGGCCGTAGTAGTCTAGAGCGACCGCGAAATGAACCGCAGAGACGTAGTTGTGGGTGTAGAGGTAGTTGATAGCTGGCTCGAACAGGCCAGCCAGCGTAGCGAGATAGAAGTAAACTCCATAGCCGCCCGATGATTCAGCGTCGTCGTTCATGAAGTGGCGCTGGCCGATGTCTTTGATGACTGTTCTCAGTTCTTCCAAGCCGAAGATCTCGCCGGCATTTTCCTCAGCGCGGTTTCCCTCGCGGGCCAGGTTGAACTGCAGCCATACCCAGTCGTCCATGTTCTCCCTGATCGGCTCCAGGTTGCGCTTGCTCATATCACATCGACCAACGATCTTGTAGCAAGCCAGTCGGTAAGGGTCCTCTGGCGTCTTCAAGCGGGTCCTCTGGGCATGTGTGTGAGCGACCTTCTGTTGCGTATCGGGGTTCAGTCTTCGGTCC